AAATCAAAATAGGAGCAACATTCTACACACACACACCTTCAAAATGAGGGGTGTTCAGGTTTTTTAAATGCAAAATTGAAAGAAATACGTCAAGTTGATATTGACCAAATTTTGACCGTATCACCCTTTACTATACTACTGCCCCAAGTTCAACATCGAAAGATCAGAGCATATCGTGCTAGAATACTGCAAATCGCTGACCACCATCCTAAAAGAGAACAACGAGACGGACCTGAAAGAAATTGTAGCTTTCATTAAACGAACAAAAATCCAAACATAAACTGAAACCGACGATACAACATCGAAGAAACCACCAAACACGAAACACGACAACCACAGTGGCGAGATGGACCGTGAGCGGTCTTAGCCGTCCAAAATAAGGACAACACAAAGAAAAAAAAAAAAAATCAAAGTTGGCATTCGTGGAGAATAGAAGAACTATGAAAGTGATGATGGTTTCAAAATTTTGCACGGGGAAGTATACGAGTGCAATCTTAAAATGCTTTTATTTTGAAAATGGAGCATTTTATTTAAATCTGGTTACTGCTACAGTGGTAGAAAAGCGGAAGTCTATGTTTACACCTAAAAATCTGAAAAGAAATTAAGTTTTCTGTATTATATGTCTATTGAGTAGTCCTGAAGTTTTCTACTAACGTAGTACTAACCAGATTTAAATAAAATGCTCCATTCACAAAATAAAAGCATTTTAAGATTGCACAGATTTAAATAAAATGCTTCATTTTCAAAATAAAAGCATTTTAAGATTGCACTCCTATACTTCCCCGTGGAAAATTTTGAAACCATCATCACTTTCATAGTTCTTCTATTCTCCACGAGTGCCAACTTTGATTTGCCAATTAAAACATAGATTTGCCACTTCGGAAAATAAACTGACAACAAAAATGTGGCGCCTAACTGAGAAAGGCGGTCAACGGGTGAACTATTTTTTCTCCCTGCGCATTCATAACTTTGCACGCTAAGATTAATTTACTTAGATTGCACAAAGAAATTATCTTGATTGGGTGCATAATGAACAAACCCAAATGGTGTTCATATATGATTTATTTTTATGCAAAATTGTCATAAATTTTCCCATGTTTACGCCCAATTTGAGTAAACTGTATATCTGCATTTGCGTGAACAAACCAGGGGATGGATATGGCTGTCATATCGCTTAAGTTTGCTGCGTACCGAACATCTGCAACGTTGTTAGCGGTACCCTGATATGTTTTGTTGTTTTGATGTTGAGTACGTGTATGCAGCTATATGTCAAACCCCTGGAACAAACACTTTGAGTACCGATTCCTGTCTGAAACAACAGTGATTCATACCAGAAACCAAAATAGGATTTCAACAGTAAGAGTTTCAAAATTGTACAAGAGCTCCTTCCAGCCCAAGTTCAAACACGTTTCACAAGCTTCTAGTGGAAAAAAGATGTTTCCCTAGCTGTTGTTTTTTGATGAACATTTGAATGATATTTTCTTGGGTTTCAGCTCAAGAGACTTAGAGAAATGGATTAACGTCTGGGGTGTCATGAAATTCTCGAAAGAGTCGGTTATTTGCAGCTATCAGGATGACGACATCATTATTCCGCTTTGCAAAACTCTGGAATTAGCGTTAATTGATGTCTAATTATCAATAATATATTATAAACTTTTCTTATCTGCAGACTGCTACCATAGAGGTAACTCTAAGACCACTGGGTCCCGAAGAAAATCATTATTATTTTTGGCTCACTCAGTACCAGAACAACGGTCCCAAGCAGTCCCAAGCTATTTCACTCACCCCTGCATGTTCTGCATGAATCCACACACCCCTGATGTTATCTGTCAAACTTTCATAGCGAATCAAAACAAACATAGTGTAGTAATAGAATTTCAACTAGAATAGGGTACGTTAATCGTTTGCTTGGGACCAATAGGCTACTTAAGTGGTGAGCCAATTTAAAATCGTTAGTTTCGTATTGATTGTTGCTGCTACCAAGAGCTGTTCCGTCTTCAAATCGGAACGTTGCGAGCCAAATTTCACGTTTAAATGGCATTAGTTCTGTGCAACTTACCTTGTGAAGAGCTGGTCCGAAAGTGAGTGGAGAGTTGCCCGTGTGTGTTTATGAAGCGTTGCCATAGATACCTCTGTTTACCAGCATTGAACTGCTGCGCTTACAACGCAGGGCTGCACACATGGCTTGCTGACTCGTTAAGCGTCAAGTTAAGACCTGCTTACACTAGCGCTAATATATGCCACACAAGTTCGATGGATGTTGACTTTCAATTTAGCGAGTCGGAATAGGAATGTATAGAGATTGACAATATATAGTTGCACATTATCAATATTATTGACAATATTTCTCCACCACTTAAGATTGAACACTGCTAATAAAAAGCAAAACAAAACCGATGTTGAAAAATGTCAATTTTCAAGGTCAGACGTGGAATGCGCCATCCAAAACATTAATGTACGCAGGGCAGTTTTGATTCGAAATGCGCACCCATTTCGGCTGCTAAACTTTTAGTTCACCCGTTGGCCGACAGACAGCGCGCTATCAATGTTACTTTTCGAGTAAAAGCAGGGATGCCCGACTGAGCAATATATGTTTTAATTATCTAAGCTCAAAACCAGCCAGTCCGCGTCCGCTCATTTCTTATCCTAGACCCTCTCTAAAGCTAGGTTAAGATGGTTCAATTCTCAGGTGGAAGCATATTTCATGGGCGATTCTATTCTATCCAGTCGAATGCATTAACTTATCAACGACGCTCAACCAGCAAGAAGACGTGACCTAGGGAGTTTGAGTGCAGGGGAGTTGACCTGCATTTCTCACAAGTTTCGGATCGAATCTCAATCCATAACCAGTAAAAAAAGGACTCATCCGTAACAGACATATCACCACCAACCCCTTCCCTTCCCGGGGCGATGTTTTATTTTTTCGATTTATTTTTAAAGTCGGTAAAGTAGATCTGTCAAGCCAACACATACACTCTAAAGTACACTGTTATTTTTTTTAAATCAATAAATCCGCCGATATTACGTTGTACGATGTACATCGATTTTGCGAACAAAATTACATCTATTGATGTAATATTGTATCTGCTTTTTGCTATTACATCATTATTTCATACATCAGCTTGAATTACGTTGATCGATATTACATTTTTTTTTTGCTGTGTACCACCAATACGCACAAGATAAAGGAAAATATTTTTATAAATTTCAAAATTCCCTAGACGCGGAAGCATGGTTTTTAATAAACAGCTAAATAATGAACAGACTAGACTTTTAAACATGCTAATTACTCTACCTATTGAAAAGCTAAAATGAAACTTGTGCAAGACGAAAATTGTGATCTATGTGATGAACCAGAAACTAGTTACCATATAATACTGCATTGCATAAAATTAAAACTTAAAGACTTAACTGCAAAATTAAAGGCTTAAAATAAAAATGTATGTACTATTTTTTCTTTGGACATTTTTGTTGTTGTTAATTTTTGATTTCATAAGATTTCGCATGAGAAAAAAAATACGACTGTGGATATTTGGGCCGTTACATACATTTTTAAGTCCAGAGAGCAGCAGCGAAATCTTCGAATTGTTTGGATTCAATTAACATAATATCCGTAATCAATCCAATAACAACGCTTTTGATTGACTTCTGATCGATTTGAAAATACTAGTGAAAATTTCCTTTGAAAAGACCCTGTAGAGCTAGTTGAAAAAAGAATGGCCGCATTATCAAATGAGTTGTAAACAAGGGGGGGGAGGTGGCTGTCAAATACGAACAATCGTCGCCTACCTCGCATGCCTCGCATAACTGGTTCCAAAGGTAAACAAGCCATAAGAAACCTACAGCGATTGTTTACGTCTGGAGCCAGTTTCATACAAGAATGATCAGTAGGCTGATTTGACAGCACGTCCCCCCCCCCCCCCCCAGAGTTGTAAACAGCAAACTCCGTCAACCATTTAAACAGCAGAGGAACAAAAGAGACGATAAGTTCTCTGGGCCTCACCTCTTTACACTAAGATTTTGTGACAAGCAATGCATTAGGTATAGGAAAAACGTCACGATAGGGGGGGGGGGGGGGGTAATTTCTCCTCGATTTAGCGTGTCATAATTAATGCATGGGCTCTTATATACTTTTTTAACAATTTACTTGTCAAAAATGATGGTTTAGAGAAGATTCTCCATCTTGCCCTTTATGGACATCATGCCCCGCTTTCGCCTAAGATTCATACACGATATGGATGTTTCGCAATATCTATTTTCGAAAGACATTTAAATTTAAACAGCATTAATTAATTATTGCGTGAGTATTTAACCAAAAGGGATGTGATAAAAATTGTGATTTACAGATTTTTTATTTTTATTTTATTTTGAAATTTTATAGTAGCGATCTTTGTTTGATTACTTTGATAACAATTAAATATTGATGTTGCTTTTTAATATCAAGGGAATTTTTTGCCTGACTTCCAGATTTTTTTTACATTTTTTGTTCGCCTTACTTGGTTCTAGAAAATAAAGTAGAATCATAGATGTAAATATATCTTTATTTCTATTACATTATATTTATTCACTGTTGTTCACCAAGGAAAAATGCAAATAGCGAAAATCGGATGTACTATAAGCTTCGTTGAAATCGAGAATGGCAAATTTCCCAAAACGATTCACGGTATACCTACCAAATAAAATCGATTGATTTCATGTTTAGAAAATATTTGTACTAGCCAATCGCAATTAGGCATTTGTACCAAGACAATCACAACGACTCACTTAATAATTTGTTAGTCAAAAAACGTTAATTTTTTTTTCTTCTCCGAAATGCTCCAGCCCATCCAATTTTCCATTCCAAGTGCACTTTCAACTTGTTACGATGTTCGCGGTCCTTCGTGTGTGTGTTTTTTTTTAATTACTAGCAGTTATAGGTGTTTCACAAGATTTTATTTAGCATGTGTGTATTTTGAATGCCTTAATCGCTTTCTTTTACGCTGAAGTAAAACAAAAGATAATAATAGTTATTTTATACGTTTATTTTTTTGTTGTTTACTCACAAGCTGGCAGTTTAAAAATATACTTGATTGATTTATATACTTTTTGTATAAACAAATTTGCTTTTACATAGCGCTCTAATATTTTGTTTTGCTTTTCTTTCTCTCTAACGCGGTTTCCATTTGCCTTTAGAACATTCTTAATAAAAAAGAAAAAATAAATAATGTAAGGCCTAAAAATAAACAAAACGATGATTATTTTATTCTTACCATTTTTCATTAAAATAATTGTATCTTTCTGTCGAAACGTTGAAATTGTTTTTATTTTGTATAATATTGCAATGACAATTTTTCCATATAATAATGCTCTTATATTAACGAATAAACGGCCGATATTCAAGTTTCAACAAGAACTTTTCAGTACTTCGTCGTTCAGCTGCTCTGCGCTTCAAAAGAATGCCATCGGCCGGTTTATTTTTATCGCTATAAACAGCTATCAACTATTTCCCCTTCATGGTAAGCTTACAAACTAGACGAAATAAAATTCGAAAGTTTGAATAAAATTCTGTAGCTTCTTTATAACGTTTATCTTCTTTAATTGATAAAAAAAAATAGGAAGGTTTTTGCCTTTTCGCCTCTGAAAACCCAATCAAACTCCTCCAATGGTTGAAAACGGTTCTGTTCTAACCGGTTGTTTCGTGGTACCTTTTCTTTGTCACATAGTTGTAATCTTTGTGCTGCATTATTATCATTATAATGGAAAGCACACACACCTAGCCCTCACGATAAAGCGAATTCTTTCACACTATATTTGTATTTCGGCAAGCGTAATGAAATAAAAACACGATATAGGTAAGGTAGTAGGTATTAAAAGAGTTCATCGCAAAACATCTGGTATTTCGATATTGGTGTAATCCAAAATACAAACAAAAAAGAAAGCTAGAATTTAAATTTTGCGTTTATTATACTTTTGGCCATTGCTGACTGGAATACTACACTAAATCCTCATTTCTTGAACTTTGTTTACGAAAATAAAGAAATCAGGTTTTCTACACTATGTGCTTCATCGACTGGCCTCACCATATTTCCTTTCCACGCTGGTTTGTTCTTGCAATTTCTTTTCTCACGAAACGAAATCGAAGACTTTGTAGGGTTTAAAGAGTTTTGTCGCTGATTTCACGGTATTCATCGGCTAGGATAAAATAAATAAATATTTATTATATAGATACTTTTTCTATACACATTGTTGTTAAAATTATCCGTCGTCAGGTTCTTAAATGTGTAGGATTTCTCAATTTGGTTCCAAATCAGCTTTAGCGGAGCGTTTTACCTTGTTTAAATGGTCTTAATTCGACAACGTTGATTTCCTATTTAAACAATACACTTCTTACTTGATTTATAGTTATTTTTTCTCTAGCTGTTATTGCGAAGACGCTGCCATTTGTTGCGAAAATCTTACGATAAAAATTGTGTTGTTTGCTCTCGATAATGAGTTGTGATGATTGTTGATGAAACTTGTAGTAGATGAATCTCCCAAAAACCAGAATCACCTGGATTGTACACAATGCCATTTTCTCCCTCTGTGTATCTATTTGCTACGTGCGCTGCTGTTGTTATTCACTGGACTAAGCTGAGATATATTAAACGTGGCTAAACATTAGTTCTTCCTGACAGACAGAGTATCGAAACTGAAGAATGTTAGTCAACAATGAGTAACCCCACCACACTGGTGTTGCGTTTATAGCCATTTCTGTTTTCGTTTCTACATTGAACATAGTTAATTTCCGTTTCAATTTTATTTTTCACTTTTAGTTGACAGTACGTACTTAAAATCACTAACAACTAATTAAAACAGAAGAAGGTTGTCCAATTGGGTTTAGAACGTTTTTTTTTTTTTGTTTTATCGCAATCGTTTTTGCTTAGATGTGTCGATATCGGATCATGTATGTTTTTGTAAAGATTTTAACTGGAAATAAAATGAAAGAAAATGAAGAAGATAAAATAGATAAAATTGTTCATTATGAAATTTTGATATTTGTGTGCCTAAAAGTAGTAGATATTTGTAAAATTTAGTAATCTTTAATGAGCACAAAGGTATTCCTAAAGCATTGTTATGATTTCTTCGTAATAGAATAAATTGTTGTGCCCAATTCTTGAAGAATATTTCAAGAATTCCAATATGTCTAAAAAGTCATCACATGACACGTGGCGTTTCAATGGCTAATAGGCCCAAGAAAACCCGTAGACCAAATTGTGCCGCCAGAAGCAGTTTTGCATTTTCAACAATAAACGAATATTTCACGACCCCTTATCAGAACTAACGGTACATATGGAAAGGTAATTAAATTTGGAAGCCATCTGTAATAATAACATTCCGTTCAGTGCTAAACTACGCTAAATTAAGAAAGACTGAGTGCGGGCTGTGCTTAATAGGTCGGGAATGGGGTAGTTAACCCTATTCCATTTTATGCTGGTTTAAAATGCGTGCTCCCTGCAGTTAACCTCCAAGTTTTAGCCAAGACCCACATTATACCAAATATATTCCGGATTCCACCGGCAAGTACAACAATCTGGACTTAAACATGAACACTTCAAGAAACACTTCAAATCACATGAGAATGCGAAAAACAATACGACCCATGGATGTTACAACAACCCAGAACCACATTGGCCACCTCTGTGCGCGTTACAAGTTCTAGGGTGTCTATTCAAAGCAAATTTTTCAATTCCCGGGTTTTTCCCGGTTATTTAATAATAAACCCGACTCAAACATCACCCGCTTTAAACAAAAAAGGCGTTAAAAATAACCGTTTAGAGATAATCATATGATTTTTTGAGCAGAATTGCTCTACAATCTACTTTATAGAAAAACAAATGAGATGAGATTTGCAGATGATCTAGATCTCCAAAATCTCATGGAATCATGTATTCGTATAAAATAAAGCGTTTCACTGCAAAAAATGAGCCTAAATCTTCTTTTGGTATGTCGGGAAAAGCATATATCAATACAAGAGAAATAAGCAGGAGAAACAGTATTAAAAGTTCTTCAAATCTTCCTGGAGTTTAGATCTTGAAGTTCTATAAGCCAAATTACATTTTGTGGAATACAAATATGTGTTATCAAAATATTTAACATTTTCCAAATTGTCATGGCGATATTTTACAGATCAATCGAAATCTTGTTCGATGTCCACTCCGAATTTTTGAGCATTTTGTACATTACGGAGACTCATAACATCATTTCTAGACTAATATTTGAAAGGGGCGGAAGTGCCAAAATGTAAACAAACCATATTTTGCCATATATAGAGAGAAAAGTAGAAGATAAACACGAAAAAGTAGAAGAAAAAATCATTTTAAATCATCAAAAACGTTTTCTTTTAACGGGTGTTCAATAAAAAATGAGAATGATTTCAGTGCCGTTTTTTTTTAAAGAATAAACATTATGTTTTTAATAAAAAATTCTGAACGTTGAAAAAAAATTTTTTTTTTACTGGCTGTGACTGAAATAATTCTCATTTTTTATTGAACACCCGTTACATGGCGAATTTCCAATTTTCAACTCTATGATACATCTGGTTGTTACGCCTTGCACCTAAACTACGAATTATTTTGTTTTAATATACAAAACGTACTGATGCTGTACTAACTAGTCACGCCCGATTAATTTGAAATGCATCCGATTGATATTTCACACGTAAATAACGAAGAAAAAGAAGACCAAAGAAAAATCTCCGTGCGTTATTCCACTCTCACAAAATTTGCGAACGAAGAACCAAGGCGGAACAACAAACAAAAAATCCCGATGGTTTATTTCCACGGCGTATCACCAGTGTTGGCAGTTCAAAGGGTGGAAGATCCGGGGGGTAACAATATGTAAGAAATTATCAGGGCGTCGTATGATGTTTTCTTCTCAATTTCACGGCAAAAAAACTTTTTTTTTAGTTTTTAATGATGCACGATGATAGATTACACTATTTACTATATGTCAGGCTAATAAAATCATCCAGAAAATGGAAAGTCGGGAAATAGGATTAATTTTTAGGTCTTAAAAATATGGAAGCGATTTTCTCGATATGGTGATTTTGCAATTCCGCCCTTATAAAATGTTAGTCTAGATTTAATATTATTAATTCTAGATAGAGCTGGAATCAGGGCGTAACAGCTTTTATAAACAATTACTTCTTTCGATGATTTCTAGAAAATCAAGGCTCGCCAACGCAAATCAACATCACCATAGGGTAGGGGACGACTTCCTCTACCCGAAGGTTATGTTAGTTTGCGTAGGCGTGCCTTGAATTCCTAGAAATCATCATTGTTTATTGTTTACAAAAGAAGTCATTGTTTACAAAAGCTGTTATGCCCTAATGCTAGCTCTATCTAGAATTGTGCTTAAAAATAACACTGTTGGATTATCCAAATCATCCCGGATATCTGATCTTGAAGTTCTGCATACTCAGATTCGACTTAATGATAGAATGGTTAAACCTTTGTGAAGCCCCATAATGTCATTGATTTGTTTTATTAGGTTTTCCAAAATGCCTGGAGTTCAAATCTTAATTTTTTTTATTATAGTCACACCAAAAGAAATTTAAAAGAATTACTCTATAAGCTATCGTGATGGTAATAATATTGTATGTTTTATAAAGGTTTAAAGGAATCTTCAAGACTAAATCATGACTATGATAAAACCAAAATTGTTACTTGGGACGAGTATTTATGAGCTTTCCCGGCAAATCCGAATTCCCGTTTTTGTCCGGATTTCCCGGTTGGATGGACACCCTGAAGTTCCTCCGGGAAATGGCCAGTCTCAAACCAAAACCCATCATGTGACAACTATGGTCATATTGTTTGTTCAATATCTTCACAAACATCGAGCCTTCATCCAAACAACCTTAGAAATAATTTCCTGATACTGTTCCGGGAAGATACGATGATGTTTTCGGTAGCAAATTTCAAAATAAACATGTCACGAATATCAGCATAATATTTTTTTTTTCATTTATGTTAATTCAAGTTGAAAATGCGATATTTTTACGGCCACCAAAGTGATACGCCGATGCACGGCGCCGCCGCCAACTAAAGTCAACGGCGTCACGCCGCCGAGGCTAAAACAGCTTCTACACCGCCGTCTCCGATAAATAACCGGCGCACAGGTCAAATCTAGACAGTACAAATACGATGGTGCTACATTTCCCCGAATGTCACTTCCCCGAACGCCATTTCCCCGAAAATATAGTAAATAGTTAGAAAATTTCCAACCGTTATTGCTGGCAATTTTCTTACTATATTTTGAGCATAGTGAGCAGATTGCAAACCAGATTAAATTTCAAGCCATGCAAATGGAAGGTTTATGAGATTAACCCAACTACCAATAAATTTGCTTCGAGTAGCTAGAAACGCATTGCCAAAGCACATGATGCTCACTATGCCCCTCTTTCCCCTATATTAATGTATTGAGCCGTTAAAGCATTTTCATTTTTATGTATAGAATAATAATCCAAAACCAAAAAGACAGACCAAAACCAAAGAGCACAAAAAATTTGGCAAAATATCGTCGGTTTGACAAGTTGGTTATAAATTTTAAGGAGATTTTGCCATCTTTTATTTACGAGCAATTCTTTCGAGAACTTTGGAAAAACATGAGAGACCGATGGTTTGACAAAATGGTAAAATATTTTTATTCCTACATTTTTACATAAGCAGTTCTCTCGGGAAATTTAGCAAAACTTGTTTCGAAAATTATTGCAACCAAATTTTAACAGGTGACAGTTAAACAGAAGTTATGGCGATTTGTTTTGTACGGAGAAAACCGGAAAATGTTTATTTTATTAAATTAGAGCCTTGGCCCTGCAAAAAAAAAATTAAAGGGTTGTGTCCTAGACACGACCGCAGTATGACGTAGAACCACACAAAATTGATGTTTTTCATGCATTTTTGACTATTATACTTTATCTTAAAATTTTCAAGTATTTCAATGTTTCGGTTATGGTTGACTGAAAACAATTTACACATTTTTCTTGACAAATATCCATGTGAAATTCCACATGATTTTCATTCGACCACACATAAACAGAATCCACTCAGAAGTACACATGAAATTTATACGCTAATGAATAGTATGTGTGGTCACGCATGGTTTTAATATGTACATATATTAAGTATGTGGCCGACACATAGATATTGATTTGTTGATCACGTTGCAACAACTCATGTGTGGGATTTGAGGGGTGGGGGGGGGGGTGTGTTTAGGAGAGGTTGTTGATGAGTGGGGGGGGGGGTAGGAAAGTTTGTTGATGAGTGGGGGGAGGGGGTTAGAAGCGGTTGTTGATGAGTGGGGGGGGGGGGGTTAGGAGAGGTTGTTGAGGGGGGGGAGTGTTGTGAAGGGGGAGGGGGTTTACATCACTAATTTCATTGTGGTCACGCCGTGATCCACCTTTAGCCGCTGATTTGGTCCTGCTTACTGCAGGACCAAGTGCCACGCCGTCTGAAGCGACAATGAGCAAACGCATGACAGCAGCGCTGTTTTATATCTTTTCAGGTTCAGAACCTGATAGGATTTCCCGCAGTTTTTTATGAAAGGGGCGGAGCAGAAAGTTTCTTTTGTGCAGAATATGTAAAAAAGGATAGACTTTGGATGTTAATATAATTGCATATATAGAGGTACCAGATATGTTTTACAGTCAGTTGTTGGTAATTCATCGAGTGAATGTCTCCTATTAAGCAATATTTTTTTTTTGAAGATGTTGGCTCAGCATGTAAAAAATTAATTGTTCATACATTATTAGGGTTTGCTTAAAATTTATTTCCCGAAAAAAAAATGATCGTCAAAGTCCATGTCTTTATCGGGTTATTATTAAGGGGGAGGGGGAGGGCGTTGTTAAGCGGGAGGGGGTTATACATGCACGTTTTTTCAAGTCTCATTCCTCATTGTGGTGGACACGCCGTGATCCACCTTTAGCCGCTGACCTAGTCCTGCTTGATGCAGGACGTAGTGCCACGCCGTCCGAAGCGGTAATGAGCAGAGGCATGAGAGCAGCACTTATTTATATCTTTTCAGGTTCAAGAAGAATGATGTGCAACCAAGTGGTATTCGTTTATGATGACTGGGTTTGGGAAAAAGGCTTATTTCATGAAATCAGTGATAAAATTATCATTTGTACATTTTCAATAGTTTGATTACAGAAAAATTGGAAAAATATTTATTTCAACAGGTTCGTAATGTAATATCCTATCGATTGGCGTATTTGGATTTTAATTTCATCTATAAATGACAGAGTTACAAGCGTTCAAAACCTAACACTCCTTCACCACACATATTTTTTGATTTGCACCCCAGTATAGTCGACAAAGACGTAGTTCTACGTCAAAAAAATATTTGTGCAGAAGGTGGCTTATATTATGACGCAACACCCCTACCAAATATTTTTCTCGTTTCGCCTCCACAAACGAAAATTTAATAAAAATGTTAAAATCTGCATACATTATTTTTCGGTTTAACTTTTCGTCCATAGAAGGTGGCGCTATGCTGTCAGTAGTTGTGAGTGTAAAACTCACAGCATTCCTCGATTCATTTGCCAAATCATATATCTCACAAGTTTTGCCAAATTCCTCGATTTGAATTTATAAAAGAAAAAAATCTCGTAAAACTATGTTATCAATTTTCGACCTCACATATTGTCTAAGTTCTCGGAAGACTGCTCGTTTATAAAAGAGGGAAAAATTTCGTCAAAATACATTACCAATTTTTCAAACCGTCAATCTCACAAGTTTTGAGAAAGTTTTCGAAAAAACATTTATAAAAGAAGGATAAAATACGTCTACGGCTGAAAATCTCCTAAATAAATTTAAAAAGAAGTGAAAATCTCCTAAAAATTTATTACCAATCTGTCAAATCATCGATATTAGTTTTGCCAAAGTTCTCGAAAGAACTGCTCTTGTATAAAATAAGGGAAAATGTCCTAAAAATATGTTACCAATTTTTACACTTCCACTTCTGGTACTGCCGCCGCCTCACTAAAACTCTCACCCCATTGATTTACTTTGAACAGAGATTTTCCCTTCTTTTAATCATGAACCTGTTCTTTTAAGGTTAATTGTTGCAATATTCAAAGATGTCTTCTTAATGCTCGCGAAACCAACCTTAGAAATGTAATACAGTCAAAGTATTTTTGGATTTCATTCGAGGAAATTACATTCGGGAAATGGAATTCGGGGAAATGGCATTCGGGGAAATGGGGTATATGTTTGTCTGGGATTCGGGGAAATGACGTTCGGGGAAGTGACATTCGGGGAAACGACATTTGGGGAAATGTAGCATAATCTACAAATACATATCAGCTACTGTTGGTTGCTTATGATAAATTGATCAAAAAATGCTGTGTTTCGGAATTTATGCAGGCCCAATATTAGGGACATCAACCCGTAATTGTTTTCACCGCCATGGTTTTGGTTCGCTGCTGTTACAAATCCTAAACCGCCTGCGCCAAAACGAATTTGTGCATAACTTTAGCATTGAAAATAATTTGCAGACTATTTTGAACAGTCGAGAAGTGTAATTAGTACATAAAAATTGCCCAATGCAGAAAACGCGAAATGGTCCTAATAATTAGAGTCATCAATTAGTCTAGACCCTAGAGCTTATGCTGTCACCCTACGTTTACACACAGAGCCTGATACTTATGGAATACATTTGTGCTTTAAAGATTAGTTTATCCAAAATTATGTCATCTTAGCAAAGTATTACCAATCCTATAATAAGCATCTAGTTACGAAAAACTGAATAGATCAGGGTTGTTAATTGATAACTGTCGATAACGTCGTTATCTATTAACAACCCTGGAACACATACTAAAATAACATGCAATAAAACGAAACAAAAATAAATAAATAAATAAAACACAAGACTCTATCATACACTAAAGATTGGTATCTTAGAGAACGACTGAAAATGATGGAAATGTGTAACAAAATGAAGGTGCTGAATATGGTGACAGTGAGAAAGTGTGTTACCAGTGTTGTTGATGACGTTAACGTCAGCGTCAACGTGTGCAATGAAAATTCTTATTCAAAACGTTAACGTCATTAATAACCCTGATTCTGACTAGAAATCATCGCGAAAGACTAAATAAAAGCTGAAATAGGACCTTGGGAACTGAAAAACTATAAAAAGCCTTATGGTCAACAGTGACATGATGTAACTTTGTTGTCTTATGATCAATTAAGCTGAAACCTTAGGCACAGAACTACAAATTTGTTCAATTAAACGATTACAAAATTCAAAATTTTGGAAGCACCTGCTAGAAAGTGAGATACTAGGTAAAATTGTTCGTTTTAGTAGTTTGCATTTCAGCACTATTTTGAAATTTTAAATTTTACCTTTCTCAAAATTCAAACAATAGTTAAAAATATTTAAAAAATTTGCAGTCGGGAAACTAGGGGCATTAGATTAGGGGCATTAGACCCGGAGCAGATTGGATACCCCCTATATTTTCTAAAATATCAACTTTGTTTTTCAATTTAGATGCAACAGATATTTCATTCCTCTTCTGAATGAATAATTTAACAAGTGAACTAATTTCAATATGTTCCTAATCAGCGTAAATTCTTGAAAAAAAAAACGCACAGGATTGATGTGTACTGAAAATTATAATTATCACATATCACCAAATAAGGTATAGCGGGCAGATGACGGAAATTAGACTGCAATTATCATCTGTTGCGGAATACTAGATTGTTTTAACTGTTCCCACATATCCAGAACAACATGTGAAAAGGGCATACAAGCTTTTTGTAAACAAACCTTTGTAGGCCCTTTTCTCACCAACCGCGGGTTGCCCACGCAAACCAGCAATATCATCGGGAAGGGGGAAGTGTCCCCTACCCGGTGATGTTAAAGGTTTGCGTTGGTGTCATATGGGTGGCGAGAAAAGGGCATAAGAATGTTTGTTTACAAAAAGCTTGTATGCCCTTTTCACATGTTGTTCTGGATATATCGTTGATTATCGTTTTCGGTAGGTACATTAAAATAATCAAAAACTAACGATACAATATCTTCTTCCGTTGGGGTACACTGAAGGTGTCCATTTTACCCCGCTAGCTTTACGATGTCAATGTAATGTAACAAATTGTTTTTTTTTTAAAGAAAAAAGTTTTTTTTTATATATTTGCTTCACTGTTGCTAAATTAGTGTAAATAACACATAGCGATATTTTGATTCCTATCATGTCAAAGGTGTCCAAAATGCCCCTAGTTTCCTGTACATAAATTTTCAAATAAAAAACGGCCATTATTTCGAACAATTTTACCTAGTATCTCACCTTTCTTCTGGTACTTCAAAAAATTTGGTATTTTGTAATCGTAACATTGAACATATTCCTATAGTTCTGTGGCGAACGTTTCAGCTCTTAAGAGAAAAAAGTAACAATATGTCAAAGTTGTCAATTTTGTATGAAAATCGGCATGCGCTGCTATTATATCGAACAGCACTGTAGGATCCATAAGTGTAGCCCACAAACAGTCCGTGGAACACAATACTGATTAGCGATGTATGATGAATTCTCGAAATACGATGACAATAATTTTGATGTGGTGGTGTGTGAATGGAAGAATGATGAATGAAAATATAAAAGTGTTGTATCCCATGACCATCACCACACACACACAAGTAGGTATTTTTTTTATATGACAGAGCACTGAAAACCATCTCCAAACGTACACAAACTTTATAGGGTAATAAATAGAAAACAATCGTTTTTTTTGCACTTTGCAGTAAGCTCAAGCAGTAAAGCTAGAGCGGTGTGTTGTAGATGAAGTATGCATAAAGTTTTACAAAATTTGCACACGTATTGTAGCTTGGGATGATTCAAGGAGAAAGTGGTAAAAATGAGCGGTCATTGCAAACGAACGAATTCGTTGCGACTTTGTATAGCAGTATAATAGTACGTGTAAAGATATTGGCATAGTCTTGATGTGCTTGTGTGTAGAAGTAGGAGGTGTAATGTTTGATTTGTTGTAGGAAGAAGTAGTAAAATTCAATTTACTTTTTCTTCAGTGTAAAGAATGACCGTCTCTTTTGTTCATCTTTCTGTGATGAAGCTGGCAACGTTAAGGAACGGCCTTCACCGCTAGCGTCAAGCTCGCATTGGGCTTTCAAAGCAGTTACCCATTGGTTCATGTCGGCGTCATCGTGACACTGCAGCAGGAATTCTCCTCCGTTGGACAACCTGTGGGAAATGGCATACGTTTTAGCTTTCGATCCGATGCGAATAATGTTATTTTACGGCATACTTTATTCTGAACACATGCTTCTTCTTGGTGTAATCAGTGGCGACTTCAATTTGAGCTCCCTTCAGCTCTAGTGATGGATCCCCACGGAACGTTTGTTCTGGAACAGCCTTTGATGTTTTCTGGTCCTTGAAGAACGTCAAACGACCATTCCGAGCAACGGAGTAAACCTGAAAAGATGCAAACATTGCAATGGAGAACTCATTGATAAGATGGTTTGAAAGCTACCTTATCCCACGATCGATTGGAGGCCTTCTTGGTGGTGCTTTCCCATTCGTGTTTCCGGGTAAGAATACCTTCTTGTGCGCCTTCGTCGGCTCCTCCTGGGCTCGGGCGATCTAGATACAATTAAACGATGAACGATCAGTTTTCAAGTGTAAATAACGTGCATACTAAATATATTCAAAAGGCCAATAGGATTCTAATCTCTAAAAACATAGGAAATAATCGATAAAATTTGGAATTTATGAGGCAATCAGCCAAAAGGCTCATATCCTTTTTCGATTTGATGGATTCTGGTGTTTCTCTACTTTCCGCTGACGGATAAAACAGTTCAATTGCAAGATGTTAGAGCTAAATGGGCACATACTGGAACAAAATCTAAATGAACGAATCATGCACAAAACACATCTTATTCTACGAAATCTACGGAAAGCCTAGCATGAGCAGAACATAGACTGATTTAGCGGATGAACGCGACCTGTAAAAATCAAAAGTATTAGATAATCGCATTTCTATACCTCCTTCATCATCCGATACTTCTGCCTTGGAGGTTCCCCGTTTCCAGCGGAAACTCCGGAATGGACTCTTGGAACGAGATCTTCGGCTAACTTTGGATGCTGAGGCACTGGCTGTGCTGGCGGAACGCTCTTTGGGTGTCGCTGAGTGCCTCCTTGTGCTGGTGCTGGGTGTATCGGTGCCGGCTTTTTTGGTCGTTTAAATTTGATTGCATTTATAGCAACATTGATGGGATTGGTGATGGTTCAAGGCAGGCAAAAATGAAAACGTGATACAAACGCAGACACGGAAAAACAAAAATCGAACTTCATTATAATTTGGTGACATTTCAGCCAAATTGGACCCAGCACCGTTTTTTTTTTTTTTGAGTTTTATAAAGCCGTTAGCATTCTACCCAATTGAGCGCAAGTTGTCTTGTTAGCCACAGAAAAACCAGAAAATATCAAAGCAAACGATACTTACTAGATGGGTACTTGGGCAATGTACCAGTCCTTGAGCTTGAGGGTCTCTGAGTTTGTTCTACCTTAGCACCTCTCCAAACTTCTGTGCCCATTTTAGATTTTGCATGCACTGTACAACCATTTGTTTTGGTATTGAATCAAGTTAGAGAAATAAACATGCAGTATTAGTCAACGTTAACTAAGGCTTGCTACTTTACCGTGTGAAATACGAAATGAAATTGTAGAAATTGCAACCTCCACCACTAGCTTACCTGTCAGATCCAACCACCAAATCAAGCTTCTTTACGCAAACTTGAAGCAATAGCAGTTTCCGATCCGATTTAATTATTTAGTTAATTCGAAGCAATAGCAATAGCAGGAAACAGATTGTACGCGGAAAGTAGGCAAACACCACATCCTAAAGGAAAAATGTAATTTCTTTGTGTTTAGGGGTAGGGGATAGCTTAACGGGCAGGCAGAAGACAATTCCTGAACTTTAAAAAGCATGGTGAGATGTCCACTAGGAAGAAAGTAAATCACAAAACAAAGCAAGAAACGAAGAAGCATTTCTACGATGGCCAAAAGTTTTTTGTTAATGGTAAGGTCGATAAGTACCTGGTTGGGAAATAGGTCTTTCTTTTTCTACAGGTGAAGTTGCTCGCATAGTGACTGATAACAGTTATATGATAGGGATTTCGTCAATATTTGGTCAGTTACAATTTTGGTTATCATTTGTGACAAGTTGGGCAGCGTGTATACGAAAGAGGTGAGTTAGTGTGAGTATATAAATATGTAGCTGGGTGTAGGGTTAGTAATTTAAGGACTTTGTTGTACAGCAAAGACAATTGAATGTCGAGGTGTGTCTCTAGACTGAGTTACTTGTACACAAGGTCACGAACAGAAGCGCAATAAGTGGATATTACTTTCGACAGGATATTTTGTTGTACGTGTTAGTAATAGTGAGAGCAATTAGAATGAAATGCATAACATACACTAAATGCTCGATTAAGTTAACTTAATTTACCTGATTCTTGCTCCTTTGTGGAATGTGGAGAGCCTGGTGCATCGGCTGCATCACGTGATGCTGCCTCGGCTTGGCGTGCTGCTTCGGCTTCGGCTTCCGCTGCGGCCCTAGCTTCAGCTTCTGCTTGTAGACGCTGACGTTCTGCCTCTTCTGCAGCCTCCTGGCGACGTTTCATTTCCTTGAGCTCAAACTGAATGCAACATAGTAAAAAAAAAACATATACAGGTTTACAATACTGAGATAGATGTTGCCTTATATTGAATCATCTACTGACCGTTGTCAATCGCTCCAAAGCGCTGAAACGTTCTTCCTGTGCTGCAGCAGATTTTTCGAATGCCTCATGCTTCTTGATTAGGTTTTCGACCTCGTCAATCGTGTGTCCGAGTTCCGTTGACATCAGATATGGTTCTTGTGCTATCAACCAGGCCTCAGCGACAGCCGCATCGCGGGCGAATTGGTATACCTCCAAGACTATTTAGAGTGAAGTTAAACATTAGTAAATAGGAGAAGCCTTATCATTTCCATTTCAAACTACTTACTTAGCTGTAGGTTCTCCCAACGTTCCTCCCACCGATGCAGAAGAGCATTTCTACTATTGGTTAACTGTAGCAGGCGCTCCTTGATATCTGCCGAGGCGTAGTGATTTCTCGCCAAAAGTTCCTTGCCAAGTGCCAAACATACAGAGAAGTTATCTTCGCGGGTGTCAATTTCTGCCTTTAGACTTTGATGATTGTTCATTAGGAGCTCCACTCCGGATACATCACGAGGTTTTTCCGAGGTGTTCATTTGTCGTACTACATCTTCCATCCAGAGCATTAGCGTACGGACCATATTGAAGAACTTGAACAAATCTCCGGTGTCCGCCAGTTTGTTCTTACGAGCATCACACATTCCCTGCAGGTTGGCCCAGGCAGCGAGTACCTCATGCTCACGGTTAGTAATTTCACGTGCCTTTTCGCCTGCGTAAGCTGCCTGGAGTTTGGAGGATTCCTCCTGAATCTGTTGAACTTGCGAGTGCAGCGTCATGAGGTCCTGAATGAAGTTCTGGTGCTTACGTTGTAGCGCGGAGACCGATCCAGCATCACGTCCAAGTTCATCTGACACGCCATGTTGTTTTTCGATGATACGTCCCAAAACGTCCTTACAATCGTGGAAGAATTTGTGCAGCTCACGAGATGCAGCCAGCATTGCTTTCCTGGTTTCGATCAGTTCCAGCAAATCTTGCCAAGACTCGTTGAGACCATCCTTCCATTCGGCTATCGTTGCGCTATCCGAATGTCCAGCATGAATTAAATCGTCAGCAATACCATTCGCCTTAGCCACTCGTTCGCTTCCAACGGCAGCGGTGTCTTGGGCAAATTCGTTAAATCGTTCCCACAGCAGTGTAATATGATCATAATCTTGACCAAGTTCGTGCGATCCAGCAACCAATTCACGCTCGGCAATCCATTGCTCAAGATCATCGACTTCACGATTCAGCATGAACAGCTGTAGTGCTTCATCCAAACGAGCGCGGCGTTCTCCGGCCAAATCCTTCAATCCGGCATACAATTTGTCCAACTGAGACTGCTTAACCGACACCTGATCGCTGTAAGCATGCTGTTCTGCGGTCAACTGTCGTGCAGTTTCTCCCAACTGTCTGATAGTGTCGGCATAATCTTCCACTGATTGTTCCAATGTTTCATGTTTCTTCATCAGATTTTGTGCTGAAATTTCATCCTTTCCGCGATCCTCCACCATCATGTATAGTTCCTGTTCACTCATCCATGATTCAGCTTCAGCCGCATCGAAGAAGTACTGCTGTACCTTCTCTGATTGATCCAATTGCTTGTGACGATTATCAATGGCATCTTTCAATTCCTGCCATTTCTGAGTCAACTGGCTGATCAAATCGGCATATTGCGAAGCATCTTCATGTCCTTCGTCAATCAGCTTTTGACCATTGTTACAAATGGTCATAATTCTTGGCTCGTGATTATCGATTTCGGTATTCAGCGACTGATGTTTCTTTTTCAACACATGCACGTTGAACAGTGAATTTCCATATTCCTCAGAATTGGCCAGTGGCATCTTTTCATCGATCCACAGCTTCTCTTCCTCGACATCGCGACGGAACTGGAAGGCTTCCTTCTTTTTCTCAAGTTGACGCTGCCGTTCGAGCAGAGGTGCCTTGATCTTTTCGAAACGTGCATTTACTGCTGTCTTCTTCTCTACAATCGGCTCAACAACGTCCTGAGGAGCGGTCTTTGTAAGAACTTCGGTTTGTTTTTCAAGTTCCTCGACTTGACGAGCCTTAACTGCCATTTGTGTTTGAATGACCTGTTGTTTCTGCATCAATATATTCACCGAGGTTAGATCATTACCCGTATCAGTGTTGATGATTTGTTTCTCCAAATCGTCCATCCATGAATCAATATCATCAACACTTTGCTGAACAATAACTTCACGCTTAGCATCGAACAGAAGAGCTCCCTTCTCTTTCGTACTGGTTTCAAGTTCGTCAAAGTTCTTAGCCAAGTCTTGCAGTTTTGGTTCGATGATTTCTTTGAACTCTGGCTTTTCAACCATAAGTTCTTGGGCGGCTTTCTGGGCTTCATGGAGTCGTTCCTTATTGGCAGCAATTTCCGCTTCAAATGCTTGATGGCGAGTCCACTTGCTGTGGACAGTCTTGGCGCTACGGTATGTATCATCTTGAGCGGTAATGTACTTTTCTTGCACCCACTCTGTCAACTCTTCAATGTCCTGTAAGAACTCATGCAGCTTGACTTGGTTCTTCAGCTTCTCATGCAGTTCAATCGCGCGGTTGCGGTTATCATCGCGACGATGGGCAATGCTTTCAGCACGTTTTCCGATCTTCTCTGAATCAAAGTGTTGTTTTTCAGCGAGCTGTTCGGCAACTTGAACGATCGTATTGATTTTTTCGTCATTAGCTTCCATAGTAGTGAGGAATGCCTCATGGCGCTTCAGCTGATTTTCCGCTTGTTCTAGATTAACTGGAGTGTCATCCTTGCTAAGGACATGCTCTTGTTGACTAAGCAAAACTTCAGCTTGACGTGCATCACGGTTGAACAACTGTTGATCCAAACTTTGAGACAACAGTACCTGACGGTTCTCCCACATTTGGTGCAAATCTTCCCAGCCATCTTTCAATGCCTTCAGACGTTCACGTAAGAACATATACTGTGGATCTTCGGTTTGAGTTGGTTCCGATGTTAATCCCTCGCCATACTCCATCATCTTTGTATAGTCCTCGGTATAGTTGTCAATTTCTTCGCGGATGCTCTGGTGTTGGTTCAACAGTTTCTCAGCTTCTGGGAGTGATGTCGGCGTATCTTCAGAAGCAACATCAGTCTGTGTTTTGGTCAACCAAGCCTGGAAGTGATCCAAATCTCGTAGGAAGCGATGAAGATCTCCGGCTTCCTCAAGTTTTGAGTCACGCTCCTTCAACATCTGTGTGAGCTGCTCCCAAATGACCTGAATCTGGGAAATCCTTTCACGAATCAATGCAGCCTCCTCCGGATGTTCGCCTTCGATGGCATCTGCTTCACTCTCCAGAGCAGTCAATTTAGCTTGAATAGCGGCAAGATCACGCTCCATGCCACTCAGACGACGCTGTAATGTCATAACACCTGTCAGATCCATTTGAAGACTATCAGTGTCTGTAAGAATGCGTTTCTTGTCTTCGATCCAGGAGATTGTCTCACGACATTCAATGTAGAACGTTTGCACGCCATGGGCAGACTTGAGATCATCACGCTTGCTTTCAGCTTGTTCACGTAGTTTGGACCAGCTATGGTTCAAATGGTTCTGCTTTTCGATGATTTCTTCCGAGTTGGGGTGTTCAACGTGCAGCAACTGCCGAGCGAGCTGATTGACAACTGCTACTCGAGAAGCGTTGGCATTCATCTCCTTGTCGAATCCATCGTAACGGTGCTTCATGATTTCCACATCTTCGATGTCCTTTCCAGGTACCATCGTCTGCAGCATGCGCTCCTTCTCGCTTATCCATTGCTCTACGCCATCGCTCTCGGAGATGAGTTTGTACAGGCTGAGAGCATCCAGCAAACGCTGCTTCCGCAGTTTCGCCAGTTCCATGAGTTCTTTGTAGCGGGCATCAATCGCGGCAAGACGTTCCTGAACTTTCTGTTGTTCCGCTTCGGTCAGAATTAGATTCTTGGCCTGGCCATGCAGTTGTTCAATATTCTCAGCATAGTTCTTCAGCTCATCCGCAACATCCTTGTGTTTCTTCAACAAGCTTTGAACGTTTGCTTCGTCACGACCGACATCTTCGGAAGAAACAAGACGCAATGCATCAAGCATCAAGTTGTCAATATCATCAGCATCGGCAAACAGTTGGAAGTAATCGACGGCATTCTCGAGACGCTTACGCCGAGACACGGTCAAATCCAGAAGGTTATTCCACATCGCTAAGATTTCCTTCAGACGTTCATCGATACGGTCTGCTCCGAAATGTCCCTGTCGGACCAACTCATCTCCAACGGTGCTGACGGACATCAACTGCTGTTCGTGGTTATTGATTTCCTTCTCCAAAGCATTATGCTTAGACAGCAACAAGTTAACTGTTGTCAAATCGTGACCAATCTCGTCAACAGACACAATTTGTTCCTTTTCCTTGATCCAGTTCTCCTCATCGGCCATATCCCAATAGAACTGCCACAGTTTGCGGCTTTCCTCCAATCGAGAACGACGCTCAACAGCCAGTTTACATAGCTCAGCATAGGCATCTTCTAGACGCTGTACGCGGTCAACAATGATGGCTGGATCGCAAGGTTTGTACCCACCTTCCTCATCACCAAGGAATTTCTGCGAATTTTGTACAACTTGCTTAACGCGCTCACCCAACACGTTGATATCGGCTTCCACGAGTGAATGTTTCTGCAGCAAATCTTCTACGCCCATCAAGTGCTTGCCATAATCGTCGGTCAACAAGCGTTGTTTGATTTCTTCCATGGAATCGAGGATGTAGATCATCTCCTGGAAGTTCTGCTGTAGTTGAATGGAGAATTCCAGCCGCATTCGTCTGGCTCTTAGCAACTCCAGTAGATAATTCCACAGACGCAAAACATTTTCTTTGCGGGCTGCAATTCTTTCAATATCGTGGTACTTTTCAGCCTCTAGCTCATTGCAAACAGCAACTACGGCTTGCACACGTTCTTCGTACGCAAAGATATCGGTCTCGATTGCTTCATGTTTCTTAGCAGCAGCTTCCACGGCGGCCAAATCAAACCCGAAGTTATCCGTGCTAACCAAGCGTTGATTCTCCGAAAGCCAAGTTTCTCTCATCGTTGCTTTACGGTTGAATCGTGCGGCAAGTTGTTCAAGCTTCTCCTGACGGATCAACTCTTCGCGAAGCGCTAGTTCTCGTTCGTGTTCTGCTTTCTCGAGGCGCTCCCATGCTTTGTTAATATCGGAAATCATTTTACCTTCCTTAGGTGTATAGGGCTTTTGATTGTTTGCTCTCATCTTTGATTGCAACGTAAACAGAAGAACTTCCAGGTTACCTTTTTCCACAAATTTAGGTGGCTTTTCAACCGTACGGTAGTTGGAGAACTGCCCCAACTGCTGTTGGACACCGACCAGGGAGTTGGCAAATTGCCGATCACCAAGTTGAACGATCGTCACTTCAATCCACTTCAGTAACTCACTCGTCAACGATTCGTACTCGTTGATCATTCGATCGTTGTCCATGGCAATACCAACCACCTTTCCGATACGCTTACCTTGTACAGTCTCTTGCTTCAGTTTGCTGAAGTAGTGATAGTACGTTACAACGTAGGTGATTATAGACTTTTCATCCGGATGATCTACGAAAACATCTTCGGCATCCAGCAGCTTGGTCAGACCAAGCTTTTCCTCAGCTACGTTGAACGCATTGTTCAAGTTCTGAATGGAGTTGATCTTCGTCAGTTTGTCGAACTGGATTAAATCCGGACGATGTTTGTGAATGATTGCGTTAAAGGCAAGACCATCTCGCCAGGAGGTAGTAAAATTACGCACATTGACATTATGGTAGCCGGCGGTCTTCATCTGACACCATAACAACAATGCGTCCTTGGCGGATTTTGTCTCTTTGTTGTCGGTTTCTTCGATTGTTATGTCTTGGATCTAGAAAAAAAAAACAAGATTGCGGAATATTCACTAACTTTGTTTAGCATGTTTTGCATAGCTATATTTACCTGGAATCGCAGAATGATAGTCCATATCAGACCCAAGTTTAGACTGGCATTGCCATCTACGATATCGTGAGAACCAATGTTCTCCAGATGGACCCGTTGGTCCCGGAGGAACTGCAGAGCCTTATCTACATTCTCGAGGCAGTGAATTCGCATCTTGCCCTTTGTGGGGCGCGGCAACCGTTCGCCAGATAATACTTCCAATAGTTTGATGAGGTTTTTACCATCTCGCATGTCGACGTACAAATCACCTATTCGGCTATTGACTCGCACTAAATGCGAATTAACCCATTTTGTGAATGTCTTTTTCTGGACACTTTCACGTTCCTCTGCAAGATAAATTGATGTCTATAACTATGATCTATATACGAGTGAAAAACAAAATCAATACTAACCCGCTAAAGCTTTGATTCGTGATCGCTCGAAAAGGCGTGAACTGGAGTTGCCTCCGTCGTATTCGTATTCGTCAATATACTCCTGCCCTGGGCCCTGACTGGGATCCCATCGCACTACTGAAATGTCAGTCGTCATGGCTAGAAGCTTACTGTCCAGGAGAGCGAGCTCCTAGCACGATGTAAAAGGAAGTCTGCAAATAAAACACACAGAGCGATTATAGGTGGGCTACAATAGTTGCATATTTTTCTTCATTCGTAATAGCGACAGCAGCAGCAGCAGTGCAACGACTGCAGTATATGATGGAGTGTGAGCAGTGCATATAGGTACATGCGGTACCGGCGCCGACGACAACTGTGTATAGGCAAAAACGGAGAATGCCACAATCTACTAGAGCGTAATTACATCCGCCGTCATAGAGTCTGGGTAGACTACTAGGCACCGTTCAGCAGGAATAAGAGAGAACATAAAAATCGACGAGGACGAGTAAGTTGGCAAATGATGACGAAAACGGCACGTACATTTAGGAATGCAGAATAAATTTTGAAAAGGAAAAAATAAATTCTGCGGCTCTTTCAAGCGCAAAGAAATGAAACAGGTATTGTGCTTATCGTTCTGATGACTTTAATGCGGTTTTGAATCACACTTTTTTTTATTTCTAGCGTAATATGAATAGTTGTTCTGCTTAGTGATCCTGGTATTCACACAAGTCGACAGAGCAAATCTTGTAATAGAATATCTACTTGCGAAAGCTATTCACTAGTGTTGTTTTCTAACAGATGACGCTGAATGTAAATCTAAACTTTGACAGATGACACATGATTCTTCTGTTCATTGCAATCCTTTATTCATTTTATAAAACATTATCATATTCCAATTATTTCATATAACCTTGAAATGAAAACCGTTCGAATCATTATTACCTATACTTTTTATTGCGTCTCTCTGAAATGAATAATTCTTTGACTATCTAAAATTTAGATGTAGTGGAACATGTGACAGTTCGGCCACCTTAAGAAAAACATCACTAATGATACCAAATTTAGTGAACAATTCGAATGATTTTCAACCTAATGGATAGTTTCATCATGAATACACTTTTGAATTTTAAAAGTAAATTTTTGACTCGTAGTAAAAAAAGATTAAAAAGTGTTTGTTCGTAACCGAAGTCCGAAATACAAGCGTTGGGGGAAAATGAGCACCCTATCGAGTTGGTATGAGTGTACCGGTACGAATATTCTGTTCTTATGAAGATTTATGATAGGTCAAAAATAAACAATTCTTTTCTATACCAAGACCAACCATTGAAATGGCCGCAACACATTTTGTAAACAAACATTGAAAGGCCATTTTATCGCAAACCAAAGGCCCCAAAGTAAACCAACAAAATGAACAGGTAGGGAAAATTCTCCTTTACCCGATTGTGTGTTAGGTTTGCGAATGTAGGTTTCGGTTCGCGAGAAATTGGCCTGATTTTGATTTTTTTTCAACGATCCAAATTTTCTTTTTCTGTAAAATAGATTAAGTAATTTGTCATCGAAATTCACGGGTTTTCCCTCTGACTGAGAATTTCCGAATTTTTCCCGGTTTTCACGGTTCACTGGTTACTCTGCCCTATGCAAAATTTGGGCTCAATCGGACATGATTTAGGGGTGCCGCAAGCGGTCAAAGTTTGAACTTTTTTCATCCGAAAAACATCCCAAGGTAGGGAGGGATACATGAATTTTGGAAATCGAAACTTTGTTTTGATGCAAAATGTCTTAAAAATGCATGAAACGATCTACTGTATTAAAAAAATGTTTTATCGAAAATCGATGGGCCGTTTAAAAAATTCGATTTTTTTTCCTATTGGCATGCTTGGTATACACAGTTGTACTCACCAACTGCTAATTTGCTAATAACTTCGCACACAGTTGACGTAACATAGTTCTTTTTGAAGCAGTAGATAGAATAGAAGTTAAGCGTGGTATAGATACGTAAAAACAAATAGATTTTAATGTTAGTAATAAACTGTATTTGTTTTTGCGTTGTAAGAATGAAGTGAGAAATGCTCGCTGCACATCTCTTACTTTACGTATAAAAAATCATTGGCGTTGATTAAAATGTTAAGATTTACCTACTCTTTGCATATCTATAGTTAACTATGATCCTTATCTATCAGTTACTTTAAAGACAAACAAATTTCAACAGCAGAGTGAAAAGTTATTAACAAATGAGCAGTTGGTGTGTACAACTGTGCATGCCATGCATGGTCTCAAGGCCACATTCCAGAACGTGAGTGGAACATGGTTATCACGTCAAACTATAATGTTTAAAATGAACCACATGCCCCAACCAACCCCTAGAACGGCTCCCATACACTCTCCATGCTCCACTGCTCCGTGAGTCCCCCCTTTTCCCATATCATTGCATGCAAAATAATAACCCAATGTAGGTCAATTGAATATGCCTAATTGAATTAGTTGCAATGATAGTGTTAACAGTAATGACAGTATAATATAGTAATTTAATAAAATGAATATTTACCTCTTAACAATGATAGAAAAAGCTCATACCATAACATGTCTAGCTTACTATCCAACATTTGTTGCAGCAGAAGGAAGTTCTATTAACAACCAAGAATTAATCGTTTGAGGCATACTGAAGCATTATGAAGGTGATATGTGTCACTAGGGGAAATCATTATCGTTTCAAATATAAAGATATTAAACATAGCCCTTCGTTTCAGTACCGTCAACTTCCATGTCCGAGAAGAGGGTTTAAAAAACGAAAGATTAACATATGAAACAAAACGATTAGATGATCGGAGTATAAAAGCAGAAGCACGGAAAGTACTTAATTCAGATATCTCAAAACTCATCCGAGAGGGCTAAAAAAAGCTAATTGAGCCATGCGTTTTGCATTGAGCCGATATCGATTCTGTGTGATTTCACCAGTTTTAGAGAATAGCCTCTCTGACGGAACACTTGTTGCCATTCTTGATAAAGTCTCTAGCAACGGGGTATACATGGGGATATTCACTACGGATTTTTTTTTCATTTTTCTTGAAAAGGATCGACAGAACGTGGGAAAACAGGCTGATGCGACATTTTGTAATTCTGTCCCCCCATGGCGATCCAGTTCTGACATAGCAGAGGACTGATGAACCTGAAATATGTCATAAGAAGTGAATGTTGCTACTGAACTGTCACACTGGTAGTTTTCAGAATCCATGTTCAAGGCAAGTGAGGTGCAAAGGTGAAGACAAAAAACAATCAATATTAAATTGCAAATGAACTAAACTTTTTTTTGGGTCGACATAAAAATCGAATGCAAAGGATTGATCCAGTCGATTTGAGAACGATCCAAAAAATCGATTAATCGAACCAAAAGAATCGATCTTTTGTGTTTCGATCCGAGATCGCCCATTGCTAGCCCTGGCCCGTTATTCGATAAAGATTGGTAGCATTGAAGACGTTACCATCAGATTCGACCCGCCGAAAGGGAGGTCGTTCCCTGTAATGCATATCGCCCTTTACAAGATACCTGACAAGATACTGTTTGGATTTCGCATGCAATCTCAGGAACAAACAATGAAAGATTCCATATTATGGGGAATAAGACGAATACAGATAACGTTTGAAATAAAAATCTCTATCAGCGTAATTTATTTAGTCTTAACACTCAAGGAAGGCTTGTGCATACCATCCTAACATTGTGATCCGAGGCAAAAAAAAATCAAGATTCTGAGATTTTCATACAGTTTTGAAATCTTGCATTCTACTAACTTGGAAACTTGGCAATCAAGGGTATGTCGCATCATTAATCAAAGTAAGCTTTTTTAAATGTCGTATGTTTCTTTATAAAAATATTCTCAAATTAAGCCTTGTCATTTGAGAGACAGCTTGCTACAGATAGACTTTAGAGTCCCAGATATTGAATTTAAATAAGTATAACTAACTAAATTTGATACATTGTGTGATCAGTAAATGTACGATAAGATTTGAATCAACCATTTTATATGACAACAGTAATTGTTTTTTTTTCTCTAAACTGTAAAATAACTATTTCAACGGCGTCGCCCTAACCTCAATCTACCTGTGCACCAGCTCTCAAATCGTTCACAAATGTCAAAATATTACTTGCATTGGATAAATATCAGTTAAACTAGACGGTTATCTGCATTTTGCAATCGATTTGAATGCAATTATTGCAAGATATCACGGTTTTTTAAAGTTGGTACACAGGTAAAAAATTAGGTTACGCGACGCCACTGCGATATGCATTGCTCTAACACATAGCATAATTTTAACTTCGAAATAAGAAAAAGAGACACTATACAGAACATAACTTGTTGAGCTGGCAGGATAATATCGAGCGTTGCAGAACTGTGTATCGAGGCTTTTATATGCAGGCCAATCTATAAAATTGCTTGCACTCTGCAACATAAATGTCATCTCTATACAATTTCCTGTTGCAGGAAATAAGAAAGTGAAGTAAAACAAACAAACACCATCAACTCATTAGTTGTAAGTACTACTAATCGGAATAAAGAAGGATGTGTGCCACACCCATCGATTGGATTTATATCTCTTTGCACAAGTGGACGGTGGCCATCAATAACCGTACCTAACGAGGTAGTGATGAGCTACAACACGTTCAGTTCTCTGTAGGTATAATGTCATCGTTCACACATTCTCCAAGGCGACATCCAGCACGACTAGTAGAGGCAGCATTGAACAAAAGTACATGTATAAATGTTATATAACATTCATCAAATCCATAGAGATGAACACATCATGCATAAGAGCCCGACGCGGGCGGCAGATTTGCACATATCTAGAACTATACCGACGACAGCACGAGAAGAGCAAACGATCATCATCAGTGAGAGGATAGCACACAGGAGAGAATCGGAATTAAGTAAACAAATAAATAAAAATGATGGTAAACAGAGAAAAGGACACTGCTTGCAGAAAACAAGAACCCGGGAAGAAATCTGAGCCATAGGATGTCGAGCGAAAATGAAACAGCAGAAGATAAATAAATATTTAAAACATACATGGTCATGCCCTAAAAATAAACGTCTGCTTAGACATCATCATCGCACGCGCACATACAGAAAACCTTGAAACGCCGTGACGATTGGACTCGGCATCCAGTTTATTAGTCAAAGTGCTGTTAATCAATTTCCAATTTTGGAAATCTGCATTG